ATCATTATGCAGCTCTTCGATCTCATGTTCTATAACATGTGCTTGTTTTTTTGTATTTTCCTAATATTCCCATTGCAATTTGTTGTCAGACATCACCGAGACATCAGAGGTCAAAAAGAGACAGCAAGAAATTGCGGAGTTCAATAAGGTGAGTGTTTTGTTTTGAAATTATTCTCTGATTTACCWATCAAGTTTTCCCCTTCATCGAAGACTTGTCAATCAATTGTTATGATTCTATGATGCAGAAAGCTATTCTGATAAATATGATTATGAGTATGACTATAGCGGTTCCTATCGAAAGTGAAGTGCTGCGATATGTAAATTCTGTGATGCTTGTTCAAATTGGTTTTAGGTTTATTTGATTTTGTGGAGGGAGAATACATGGCAAAAAGAAAGAAGATTAGAACGTATATGTACACTTTATTACASACTGTATTTTTTAAWTTTTTTATTTATTTTTGGGCGATTGTTTTGATTTGTTTGCCTCGTCGGGCGATTGGTTTGGCTGGTTTGCCTAAATGTGCGATGGAAGTTATGTCATCGGAGACCAAAGGACTCGACCTGGCAAATAATTCAGAGAAATAATCTCTTCATCAGGCATAGAGCGCTTCTCGAATGCTGTTAAAAAGATCTCATTCGGCCAAAACACAATCCATCGTATCTGTCGTCCACGTCGAAATATCATCACAATGTGCAGATAACAAAGCTGAAAGACTCATAAAAGCACATTGCCTTCCTCTAGAAATGTCGCTAAAACGATTATCACCTTGATAAATACTTCCTCGAATAAATAAAGTCGCATTTAACATGCTAAATACTTGTCGAACTTGCCGTTGAAAGAGATCGAAAAGCAATRGAAAGACCATGCAGTTTACGGCGCATCATTTGATAATAACCGCTGAYTATGTAATGTTTACTGTAGGCTCAAAGTGTCTATTGCTAGCCCACGAAATCGACTTTCGCCTTCAGTATGTATGTATGGCACAGGGACCCCAAAAGGCCTGCGAGATTAGTGTCGCTGCTCACTTCGTTCGCAGCAATGAGGATATCAATAGCAAGTGTTACCATAGTTTTGATAATGATATTGATTTCCAGGCCAATCGTTGGAGGAAACGTGGATTGGTTCTTGTTCCTGGTAAATTCAAAATCGAGGGATCGAATTACCAATTTACGGTWTTCGTGTCGATCTTCAGCGCTGATGGAACTGTTGCCATCCAACATGGCGGAGTAGAGATGGGACAAGGAATTAATGTAAAGGTATGTTGAGGTTCTGGCTCTGCTTGTGGTGTTCACATCAAGTAGTTATTATTTCACGGGTTAATTGTTTGTGAAACATCAAATCCAATAATAATCTTGAAGGTTGCTCAAGCTGCTGCCTATGTACTTGGCGTTCCCATGGAGATGATCATTGTGAAGCCAAACCACACCGTTTTTTCACCTAACAGTAAGTACCTGTACATTATACGCTAATCGTGAAGAACAGTGATACTTCTGAGCGGAGAATGCTGGCTACTATCGCGTATGTCCTACTCTATGACAATCTTATACGAAATGGATCACCTATAAAACAACTATTTTATCAAAAAACAATAATTGGTCAAAGATGAGGTTTGAATGAGCACCAAAACGATCATTGTGTTTTTAAGGTATGGTTACTGGACGTAGTATTGTGAGTGAGACMTGTGTCGAAGGTGTWATGGAGTGCTGCAAGATGCTGAACGAACGCATCAAACCAGTCCGTGAAGCAAGTCCAGGCGTTTCCTGGAAACAGCTGATAATGATGTGTGGTTTCCAGAAAGTCGATCTGTCAGCCAAGTACAAGTAAGTAGTGCTGTGGGATGARGGTAATAATGTTAGGTGAACTTAAATCTATTCACATGACTCGATCCTTTACTTTATTATTATGTTCTACATTCAAAATACATCTGATTATGTGAATACATGATATAGATGTTCGATCATGTCAATTCTTATTAATTTACTATTAGATAATTATTGTTATATTAATTATGATGACACAATTCTTTCCTACTATAGTGCTCATTGTTCGCCGAGGGGAAAAGGCTATTCGTCTTATGGAGTGACGTGCACCGAGGCTGAAGTAGACATTTTGACCGGCGAGCGTCTAATCTTGAGGTCTGACATATTGTTTGACTGCGGAGAAAGGTATGTACAGCATCATAGCCGGAGAATATTTGATATATAAATGGAGGGATAAATACTTCAATTGATTTTCGTGCTAGTTTGAACCCTGAGATTGACGTTGGGCAAGTTGAAGGAGGCTTTGTATTTGGCATGGGTTATTGGATGTCCGAGAAAGT